CAAGGTCTCTCATAAAGTTTTTTTTAGTTTTTTACAACAATAGGTGCAGCGTTCTCATTACAGTGGATTTTGAAGTGTCACCAAGTCATTAGAAAAATGGAACTCAATCGAGAAAATTTTCACGCCGTAATTTATTACAACTTTCAGCGACAGTTATCGCAAGAAGAATGCCTTGCTGAGTTACTGTCTGTTTTCGGCAACGAAGCGAAACACCAGTAGACAATTTCTCGTTGGTATGGAGAATTCAAACGTGGACGGGTGAGTCTTAGCGACAAACCCAGGGTGGCAGTCACCCAGGGAAATGTCGATGCTGTGCGCGTATCATTGAAGATAGACATATGACATATCGCGAGATTGAGGCGTCCTTGAAGATCTCAAAGACCGCAACTCAAAAATTTTTACATGAAGAATTAGGACCAAGAAAATTACTTTCTCGTTGCATACCCTACCTGTTGACTGACGAGCAGAAAGCAGCCAGGGTTAATTGGTGTCAAAAAATGCTTGACCGTTTCAATTCCGGAAACTCAAAAAATGTGTACAGCATTGTTAGTGGTGACGAATCGTGGATTTACTGTTATGACCCAGAAAATAAACGACAGTCGGCTGTTTGGGTGTTCCAAGGTGAAGAAAAGCCAACAAAAGTCATCCGTTCTCGAAGTGTTTCGAAAAAGATGATCGCGACACTTGTGTCAAAAGTGGGTCATATTGCAACAATTCCTCTTAATGAGCAAAGAACTGTAATTGCAGATTGGTATACCACCATTTCTTTGCCAAAAGTCATCACCGAGCTTCGAAAAATCAACCCCGAAAGAATAATCATCCTCCACTAAGACAATGCAAGCTCGCACACAGCCAAAAAAACAAGGCAGTATTTATGACCTTATTGTTTTTCGAAGTATTCTCCACGAAGATTAACACAGATCTGCATGCACTCGAACCAATTTTCGAAGCACTTATTCCACTCGTTTGCTGGCATTTTTGAATGCGCCAACTGCTTCTTCTGGTGACTAGAACCTTTTACCACGCAGTCTGTTTCTAATTTTCGGGAAAGTAAATAAATCGTTAGGACTTAGATCGGGACTATATGGAGGATGGTTCAATAAGTGATATAAGCCTAAGATCGGAGAATTCCGCAGGATTATTTATTTTAGGGATAGGGATACCAATAGCAGACTTCCATGGAATCGGAAAATAAGACCTCTATATGCAGCAGTTGATAATATGAGTTATGGAATCCTGATGATTACCATTTCAACCCGGCTAACACCGTCCCGATGCCCTTTTGATTAGCGTCGTCCATCCGGTTTCTAGTTACAGCTTTAGGTGTTATCTTCGTGAGAACATTACCGAAATTGCATTTTGCTATGTTTTATTTCTTATAAACTGAATATGAAATGTAATTAGCGTTGTTGTCATCCTATTTTCAACCAATAAAGTTCCTGCAATAGTTTCGAACCGAAATCACACTGAGTTTCATTTCTTATGCGCTATATATTTATCAATGGAAGGGCTGCACAATTTGAGCATTTTTGCATCAATGTCATCAGCACCAAAAGAATCTGATTGTAAGCTATGCAAAATGGTCTGCACTTCTTCGACAATTATCATCCTAAACTGGAAGCCTAAATTAGCATTATGAACATTAGGTGAATAATATTCGATTTCTTTGTCGCAAACAGATGTCTAAGCACCCTTTCCTTTGTGGTTGCTAATTTATACCTTCAGTTTTAAACGAAAAGAAAATTCTATAAAGTGAAGCGATCCCGTAATTGCATATATTATATGCGACTGCGGCAACAGCGATCTGCGTTGTAGCTGCCTACCTCATGAGAAAAGGAGGAAAATGAAACCGTAAAATAATTTGGTGCCGAAAATCAGGGAGGGGGACCAGGGCATATATGTGGTCCATATGCTGAATGAAGAACTTCTGGTGCAGGATCCACTGGCTTATAAGCCTAATTGGTTCTTAATTCTTTCCGATTTTATCCAACGCTGCATATAAAAATCATATTTCTCATACTCCTTCAGTAATGTCACATTGTTATTTTGATCATGGCACCTTTTAAGTTTTCAATTCATGAGTAAAACAACATACACGGAAAAGTTGCGCGAAACTGATGAGCACAAGTGACGACATCAACTAATGAAGGTATTTGAGGTTTCATCCGCCATTGTACTGCTCCATATGCGCAGTAGTTGTATGCGCACTTATAGTATGACACTATTTAGAACAGTTCCTACAAAATTTAGCTCTAAGTTTGTTCATACAAAATTACTGAATGCTTTCTGACACTTTCCTCAACCTTGTGCGAAATTTAGCACATTTTGTACGAAATTTAGCACATTTTGTACGAAATTTAGCACATTTTGTACAAAATTTCGTATCGTGTCAGACGGCCTTTAGATGTTGCGTTTTGATTCTGGAGGCCTGCAGAAATTATGCTCCCGCAAAATATTCTATCACGTAAAATAATTCATTAAGACGTGTTGTTAAAAACAACTGGAACTCGATCTGTATTCAAAGATCTTGCGTATGTGCTGAAATTTGAATGAAAGTTTGTCATTCTAAACTGTTGCTGTATGTCGTGAATCAAAAGATCAATCATATCTCGCCATAGCGTTATTTGAATAATATGTATGCTTCTTCTTTACTTAGTGCTATCAGTAGAGCAGAAACACCTGGCATCTTGGTAATGGGATATTCTAGGACTTATGTTTATAGGAACTTTTTTGGTATTTTTGGATACACTTCCTATCTAAGACATATTGCCAGGTTTTTTGAAACTGCCCTGTATTTATATGCACCACATCGATGCAAGATCCGATAAGTAGATTGCATTTCTGGAGCTAGTTTAATCAATAATCAGTATCGAGTGTACCAGCACATGTACAGTGCTGGTACAAAGGGAGTTAGCAAAAACGGGAAAACACAGTTTCCGAGCTTCTCCTCCTCACCACGATTACTCCAACTACCACTATCTCAGGAACAAAAAGGTAATCATAATTCTAACTTTGGAGAACTTGTGACCATACAATGCCTCAACAGTCATTTCTATTAATCGTGACCAAACACAGTCCTAACCTAGGGAAGGACTTGAGACACCTTCAAGACAAATGTACGTAATTTGGCGAATTTGCAAAAATAGATTTTGAAAGTTTTTAAAGGTATCTCCAAGAGGCTTTGCCACTATACCCGTAAATGACCCACTGAACGCAAAAAATTAAAGTTCGACAATGTGACTTCTGCTTGCTAGAGCAGAATTTCAAAAATATAAATAATCAGTACATTATATTCAGAGAGTTACCAGACTCGGTATATCTGTCTATGTAGTTTGAATTACGACTACATGTTGTTCTGTCATATAAAACCAGCTACTACATTTTTGATATAGGTAACAATGCACGGCTGACTGCCGACCGTTCTACACCTAATGGCAGAGTCACGTACGGTTAATAGTGAAGCGGCTAATTTTGGATTTTCTATTGGGAAGCTGATCTATTAGTCTCAACGGCCCTAGCAGCTATTTCACATTATAGAATTTTCACATATATACCTAAAACTATGAATGCCGAAATAAGGCAGCACAATTTTGCATCTGTTACCGAATAGACCACTGCGAGGGTCAAACAGTAAGCTACCTGGACTGAATCTGAGTTTCCATTTGACAGCCGGGTCACCACTGCAGTAGATACGGTCTACTTGCCATTGTACAAGCTAGTGATATAGCTTGGGTAGAGGACAGTTGCTCAACTTTCGTTAGATATTATATTTACCTGAGACCAAGCCTAGACCATGCTGATGAATTGCTAAAAGGCTCGAAACAGCAATCCAAGATTGGTTGTCTGTGGCCGGAAGGACAAAAGCTATATTACTGGTTTCTACTTATGGATATATATATATATATTTACCTAAATACCTTTAGAAAACAAATTCATACTTCATTGCTCCATAAACAAATGCGTTATTAGTAGAAAAACTGAATTCCTTGTTTTTTCATTATCTTCAATGAACACAATTCAAGTCTGAATGTAAGCACTTTTTTATGAGGGACAAAAATATGTCGACAAATTCTTTTCAACATTAGTTTAGTACAGATTCGTGTCAGAAGAGAACTATTTTGTGTTCATCAAGTATCTGTCTGAGACCATTGAGTTATACAAAGATGGTCAACGTCAAGTCGACATTGCCAAAAATTTGAAGCTGAAACGTAAAGCAGTTTGGGCAATATTGAACAAATATAAACAAAGAGGTATCTTAGAAGCCTCTAAAGAAAACTAAATGCTAGATCAGTTAGATTAATAAAGGTAATTTCGTCCAAAGATCCGCTTAAGACCCCAAGACAAATAAAAGCCGAAATCGAGACAAAAGGAATTGTCAGTGCTTCTACGAAAACTATAAGTGGAAGATTAAGTGATTTGAAGTTATTTGCATGTCGCTCGAGTAAGAAGCCGCTAATCTCGAGGGAAAATCGTAAGGACCGATTACAATTTGCAAGGTTGCATCTTGATTGGAGCATCTGTGACTGGAAGAGGGTATGTTTCAGTGACGAATCCAAGTTCAATATGCTTGGATCAGATGTTCATTACGTTAGATGTCCTAGTGGACAAAGATAGAACCTCAAGTACACTTTGGCCACTGTCAATCATGGAGGCGGGTCTGTTATGGTCTAGGGGTGCTTTTCGGGGTTTAGAATGGGACCTTCATAGAATAGATGGCATTATGGATAAGTTCCATAGTTCCAGTTTTTTTCAATTAATTTTTTATTGAAGGGAGTCTAATGAATTTATTTATGTATAAGTAAGTATTATGCTATAACGAATATGTATACAGGTTAGTATATTAATAAAACATGCTGCATTACGGCACTTCCGCTCACGGCCGCTAGTGTGTAATATTAGACGGCGAACTGGGCCGTAGCAGATATAGGAAGATGAAAATCCAATCCTCTGGCAAAAAATTCTCATAAATGCCTAATACAGCGATGCCAATATTAAGGAGGACCTAAATGCGATAATCTAGATACTGAATACCCGGCAGATGACCTATCCACTGTAGATTTGATTGAAAATATACGGGCTGAATGCCCACGCGACTGTGAGTCCACCAAATCGGCGCGGCAATATATACGTATATATATATATATGTATATACAGATTCCGATAGTTAGGTCCTCCACTCAATGGCTTTTTAGAGTCGATAGGTCCTCCGTTGCGCTAGGTCCTCCGTATATGGAGGACCTATCGCAAATTTCACCAGTCGGCCTGAGGGGCTCCCCTTTGTCACCCGGCAAAATTCCAGACGGATGACCCAGATCGTGTTTTTTAGCAAAATTTGGGTACCGTAGTTCCGGGCTTTGCCGCGCCGATTTGGTGGACTCACAGTCGCGCGGGTATTCAGCCCGTATATTTTCAATCAAGTCTACAGTGGATAGGTCATCTGCCGGGTATTTAGTATCTAGATTGTCGCATTTAGGTCCTCCTTAATATTGGCATCGCTGTATTAGGCATTTATTAGATTTTTTTGCCAGAGGATTGGATTTTCATCTTCCTATATCTGCTACGGCCCAGTTCGCCATCTAGTATTACACACTAGCGGCCGTGAGCGGGAGTGCCGTAATGCAGCGATGATATTTGTTCGAATGTAATGCTCAAATCCAATATTCTATGGAATAAGATAAAAGATGTTACTTTGTTTTACGATTTAAGACAGATACCTTTACTTACCGCGCCTATTGACAGGAATTATTGTAATCATAAAAAAATCTGCTTTAGGTTGCTGTTTTCATCTTCCTATATCTGCTACGGCCCAGTTCGCCGTCTAGTATTACACACTAGCGGCCGTGAGCGGGAGTGCCGTAATGCAGCGATGAGATTTGTTCGAATGTAATGCTCAAATAAAATATTCTGTGGAATAAGATAAAAGATGTTATTTTGTTTTACGATTTAATACAGATACCATTACTTACCGCGCCTATTGACAGGACTTATTGTATTCATAAAAAAATCTGCTTTAGGTTGCTGTTCGCTCTTACTCAAAGGCTGACCCAGCTGATGACGAGCCCTACTTTTTTCCCCTGCGTCTCGTCACACGCCAGTAGCCTGCTGGATCTCTTTCTGACCACTCATCCTGTCCCTTACAGCACTGCTGTCCTGTCCCCCCTGGGTAACTCAGATCACGGTGTTTTGGAGGTTAGATTTCGGTCAAAACCCGCTGTGGCAGCAGAAGCTCGTATAGGCCGCAAAACTTTGCATTACGGACATGCCGACTGGGAGGGGCTCAGAGACTTCTTCTGTTTCCTTGGAGAGATGTATGTTTCACTGACACGGATGCATTGGCTGTCTGTTCTTCGATAACAGAAATTGTCCACGTCGGATTGGAGGAATACATCCCTCACACAGTGAAAGTGCCTAAACGAGGGTCCAACGGCTCGTGGCTGGTTTAACAAATCGTGTGACACTGCTCACCAGCAGAAGATCAAGGCACACAGAACCTTCTTACAAAACCCCACTGTAGAGAACAGACAAGCCGACGTCGAGTTCAGACAGAAATATAACGAAGCGGTTCGCAATGCCAAAAACCAGCACGATATAAAAGTTAGGCACAGGGTGATGTCGCGGCGCAATGGTAGTCGGTCTTTCTGGACGCTGGCCAGGCAGATTGAAAAGAACTTCTCACACAGTAGTAGCCTTCCATCACTTACGTGTCAGGATGGAACTATTGTATTCGACTCAAAGGCCCAAGATCTTTGCTGAAAACTCCACCATGGACGTCCCCCCAACGCCCAAGTGCCGTCAATTCAAAGGGTTCCCTGCACTATGCGGGAAGTAACATTCAGGCATGAGACCGTAAGACGATTGCTCTTGTCGCTTGACATCAACAAAGCTTCTGGTCCGGACTTGATTCCTGCCATTGTACTGAAGAGGTGTGCAGCGCGGCTTGCTCCAGTTCTTTCGCGTCTCTTCCAGATATCTTATGAATCCGGTACCTTCCCAGAAAACTGGAAATTTGGTCATGTCCAACCCATCCCAAAACAAGGATCTAAGACCGACCCTTATAACTACAGGTCACAGCTTGATTAGCGACAGGCAGTATGGTTTCCGGCACCAATCCACAGGGGACCTCCTAGCTTATGTCACGCAATTGTGGAGTAAACTCATCCAGTCTTATGGTGAGGCTCATGTCGTTGCTCTTGACATCACGAAAGTATGACAATGTTCGCACTTAACAAAATAATTGTCAGTAAAATTCAAATATTCGTTCAGTCATGACAATCTACATACTAAATACCCGGCAGATGACATATCCACTGTAGACTTGATTGAAAATATACGGGCTGAATACCCGCGCGACTGTGAGTCCACCAAATCGGCGCGGCAAAGCCCGGAACTACGGTACCCAAATTTTGCAAAAAACACGATCTGGGTCATCCGTCTGGAATTTTGCCGGGTGACAAAAGGGAGCCCTTCAGGCCGACTGGTGAAATTTGCGATAGGTCCTCTATATACGGAGGACCTAGCGCAACGGAAGACGTATCGACTCTAAAAAGCCATTGAGTGGAGGACCTAACTATCGGCATCTGTATATATATATATATATATAGTATTCATAGTTAATTGCCTTGCTTGTTAGGAGAAAATTTACTTGAATTTCTTTGGGTAGAAGGCAAAGTATTGCAAAAGTGCACTCTTATAACTTAACCTCAATCTTTCGAAGATCTATGTCTTCATCGTCTGGAGCTGGAGACAATTATTGACAATAGCAACAAATAACAATTAGGAGAAAAATAGTTACTTACTAAGTCGGCGAGATTGTTGCTGAAATTGTTTTTAAACGACAGTGAAGGGAACACTTAGTCGACGAACAAAAAACTGGACTGATGAGGTTCGATTAGGATGGAATTATTTTATTATTAAATGACAAAACATTTTGAAAGGTGTTTTTTATTAAACGTTGATTGATTTTGGAAGAAATTTGGATATTTTAAAACTATCAACTATTGAAAATTCCTTCGAAATTTCATCTTTTTTCCACTGATAACCTCCACATTATCCAACACGTGCCGGCCGACTGACATTCTACAGCGGCGTATGAAGTGTGCTATTGAAAATTATTGGAAGGTCACTCGTAATGTCAATCAAAATTGCTCAAAGTATTTTGTCCTCAAGTGTGAATATTTCCTACAGATGTCTTGGTTTTTTGGTAGGATAACATCCAAATCACACTCCTTCCAAAGCAAGTTTTATCAAGTTTTGAAAATGTCTCTGTACTTCATCGGTCAATATAAGCACTATATTACAAAACACCCTTGATAGTAGGCAACACACTTCACATAATGAGTGAATTTTCAATGTTACACTTCATACGCGGCTGTAGAATGTCAGTCGGCCGGCACGTGTTGGATAATGTGGAGGTTATCAGTGGAAAAAAGGATGAAATCTTCGATATTTGATAGTTTTAAAATTTCCAACTTTCTTCCAAAATCAATCAACGTTTAAGTAAAAAAACCTTTCAAAATGATTTGCCATTTAATAATTCCGTCCTAATTGAACCTCATTAGTCCAGTTTTTTATACGTCGACTATGTGTTCCCTTCACTGTTGTTTAAAAACAATTTCAGCAACAATCTCGCCGACGTAGTAAGTAACTATTTTTCTCCTAATTGTTATTTGTTGCTATTGTCAATAATTGTTTCCAGCTCGAGACGATGACGACATAGATCTTCGAAAGCTTGAGTTTAAGTTATAAGAGTGTACTTTTGCAATACTTTACCTTCTACCCAAATAAATTCAAGGATATATACTGGTATATATATATAAGCAGCATCACCGCCAAAAGATCAAATTCAGATTCTCATTTTCAGCTCCTGTCTAAGAAACACAGCAAAGTGGTTGGGCGAAATTGTATGTAGACAAATTATTCGGTGAAAACGTGTGAAAAGTGTTACTGGACGAGAATATGGGTCGTGCTATTCTGAGTCAATTTTTTATTCACGAATTGGAATTTTTAGTGGCTATGAGAATGCTTTCTCACTATAAATCTTGCTGCTCTCACACCTCGTGTCCATCACAACTATCATGTTCGTCTTGACGCAAAATCAATGGTTGCATATTGAATAAATGTAATATGAATTGGGCGAAACAGTCCATTCAAGCTTGAGGTATCGGCATCAGACCTGAAACTACTATCGGCCTCTGTTTTCATTCTAACCCTAAATCCATTCTCCCGCATACTTTAACGGTAATTGCATGAAAAGTAGACATACATTCTGGAGGCAATCCACATAAGAGCGTATTTTCTTTACCCTGGGGAAAATTTAGTACATATACACTTGTTTGCTTTTCCGGCGCTTGCTGCTGATGCTATCGTAGTTTTATGTGTGTAAGCACACATGGAATTTATGCCCGCAGGATTTAAACGGCATGAACGTTGTAGCAAATGGTGAGCCTTGCCGTTGAAAATAAGGAAAAAACTTATACGTCATTGGGAAGAATATTCGTTGATAGAATGTAATCACTCCCGCCAGAGATTCAGGTGGACGTGTATATACATTCATTCAAAATTGAAGCCCTTAAATCACCTACGCATTATCATCAACGCCCCATGGTACGTATCAAATGAGATCACTCATCCCATCCTTAAAGACACTACAGCTTTTTCACGGTTTTTAGCGGTTACGTTATAAATCCCATTCGAAATTAGTAAGCAAATCGGCTAATTGAACCATGTACGGAGCTGAGGGCCTTTGGAAAGTTGCACACTGTGAAAACCGATTTCAAACGCAGCTGCTCGATGCTGATTAATGAAGGATCATTGCGTTCATTCACTTTCTCAAAATTCTCCAGAAATTTTGGCAAAAAGTATACAGTACACTAGTTGGTAAAAAGTGGTGTGTACTGGGGGTCTATAACTATATCCTTTTCACGCGTTTTTCACTCTGAATACGAATCAAAAGTCAAAATTAGGTTAAGATGGTTAAATATGAAACTAACTTAGACACCAGAATTAAAAGTGCATGTGCAAAATTTGTTTTCCTGATCACCTAATTATTCGCTTATTTGTCGACCGACTACCAATTTTGACTTCAGATTCATATTCAGCATGAAAAAGTACGAGTCCATGGGAAGAACATCGGGACCCCAAGCACACAGCACTTTTTGTATTTTGTGAGCTTGTGCTATTGGTATTGTCCGTTGGTTGTATGTTTTATATTATGGAGATTAATAAGACGTAAGCTCAAAATGGTACGCCCGTTAAGTGGGTTGTTACACCGACAGTGACAAGCATATATTAGGAATACCCATACCCTGGCGAACAAATTTAGGAGATGGCGCGATGAAAATGAAGGACGTATGTAGAGCTAACACAATCAAACGTTCGCGCCCAGAGGCAGATTGCATAAATATGTATGTGTAAGGGAGATGGACCCATAAAAGTGACGCCGGTAGTTTTAGTCTGACCCGCCAAAAACTAAAAAATGAGTCATACTTAACACAACAGGTACATCGGTAGTATAATGTACATATTTGTATCATTATTGAACAATGAATTTCTCCAACTATTTTTTTTAAAACTGTAGAAATGTTGTCTGGAATAACATAATTACTTCAATAGTCAAACCAATAATGCTCAAGCTTTTTTCGCTTCAACCGAATTACTTCTTTTCTTGGCTCTATTCCCTCTTACCTATCCTCCGTTCTTTCCATTTCCTCCTTGAACTGGTTTGGTATCTGGTAGCGGGATCCGATAAACAAACAGACCGGCAAGCCCTTTAACTAAAAGCAAACGCCTACCAGAACTCTCTGACGCAACGACGAATAACAGTGTGATGAACAAATGGATTAATAATACTCCGTCCGACCGATCAACAGAAGTGTGCATCTGTTGTGCTATTGTCTGTCATGTTTACCGGCAATCACCAGAGCGATCCTTGCTAGGTCTTTAGGTAGGTCAACAGACGAAAGCAGGGCAAAGTGTCCTCCTTTGCAGGTATAGGCTCTATCGAAATACGACATCACAAAGTGCTATCTAGTGCCAGGATCGACCATTGAAAGAGCGAACTGCAGATAAATGACACTTTGTACTGTACTGGATGCTTTGCTTTGCGTTCGTTCGTTGCCCGACCTGCATAGACCGTACTGATTATTGACAATAACGTGGAACTTCATTGCGAGGTTGGGTCACTGTTGGTCGGATGGTCAGTAATAGTGTTATTAGTTCATTAGTCAATGACGAGTACGTCATCACTTATTGTATCACCAGAATCGACGGCATCAAGCAGTCACTACTATGACTCGGCTATCCGCGTGAAGTAAGATACTATACAGTTCCAATAGAAAGTTGCTGTTCACCTTCGCAGTAGTGGATTCTGATAAAAGATGACACTTCATGCTGTCGTGTTTTTCATGAAACCGATGTTGCTTAAAAAGCTCACGGTAGTCGAAAAAAGAAACGATGTAAGATTAGAAACTAGTGTTTCTTGGTTGCCACAGAGCTTTTGCGGAGCCATTAGAGAATTTACGCATAACCTTCATGACGTTGTTAACGTAAATGCTATCTTTTAGAGTACGTGGCATATACGTTACATTGGCCATGCTTACACCATACTGCAATAGGCATACGATATGAGTTTACCATCCAGCTGACTTCACTAGAATAGCCACAAATTTTGTTCAGCTTGTATACTCCCTGGCTACAAAGCACAAAAAAGTTATTAACGGAATTTTACATTTTTGTATGGTTCACCGCATAAGCGCTCGAAGGAATTTTTGTTAGAGTACTATTAATTTGCAGATAATTAAAAGCAAACCTAAGAGAATTGGGAACCTAACCTGGTCTTAGGATAAACAGAGGATTTGTTTCCACCAAATCGTGTGGTATAGACCCATCAGAAAGATGTTACTCAAGAATTTTCCCTGCCATAATTCTACACATTTGCTACAGTTTAGTTCGAACTGTTGATGAATCTCATCGAAATCAAGCGCCTTTCCTGCGTCTGCGCATTTTGGTGACTCTGTTATATCTTTATCAAAAACGATTAATTACATGTATTTGCTGCCGCCATAATTATATGAGAAGAAGAGAACGGTTGAGTGTACTCAGTCTTCGTAGCAGCTGATTTCATGATTTGGAGTTCGCGTTTTGCTTACTTGTGTGTGTTCTATCTGCTGGTGCTCTGGACGTTTCTACAATGTATGCTGCAAAAAGCGCTGCTTTGATGGACTGCCTTACGTAGGCTAAACACGCTTAATGTATTTTCGTTAAATAACTTATAAGCTAGCAGGAAAGTATACAAGCCAATCAACGCACGTGGTTATTAAAAATCGATCAGCCTGTTTGTGATCTTCAAGTAAGCGGTTTGACTGTAACAGAAATAAACATGTGAGACTTAAGAATGCTTGTAGTCAAAATACTGTCTTTGCCGATTGAGAGGTGAGAAACCTTTCTTTTCCTCTTTCCTTTCCAGGAGC